CTCTCTCTCTCTCTCCCTCTCCTCCCCTGTCTTTTGCTGTCTTTTTTGCTCGATGTCTCCGAAGCCTACGGAGAAGCGACACTCGCCCCTAGGCCCTAAACCCCTAAAAGCATTACCCCTAACCTCAAACGCACTACGAAACATCCTCTCAGCACCCGGGCGTTGCAAGAGGAAGCTTCTTCTTCACCGACGCCCTGGGAGGAAAGGGCTTAGGTCCAAGGGCCCTACAAAACGTACCCCAAAAAGCCTTTAGGTTCCTAAGCTCTACAGTTCCAACACCATCAAAACCTGGCCCAAAAAAAGGCAGAAATCCACAAACTCTGAGATCCTTGAAGCGAACATGTTGGTTGATCCTTGAATCCTTGCCCCTCGGATGCTTGAAGACATTGAAGAGCCACAGTTAGATCCTTAAAGTGGAAACTCTGTTGGTTTGCATGTTGGCTTCAAGGAGGTTGCTGTATGTAAAGTGGTTTGGCAAGTTTCGACGAGTCCAGCAAGACCGAAATGAACTACACGCCCTTCAAGAAGCCCTACACGGCAAAGCCACAGACCACAGAACCCTGAGCAAATGGATAGTAATAGTAATAATAATAGTAATAATGGTGGTGAAAGTAGTAGTAGTACTAGTCATAATAATGGTGATAGTAATAATACTCGTAATAATAACAGTAACAATGATAGTAATAATAATAATAGTAATCATCATAGCACTAGTAATAATAATGCTTATAATAATAGTAATAGCAATAGTATTAGTAAAAGTAATAGTAATAGAAATAGTAAAACTGGAATTGTAATAATAAGAATCATAATAGTCCCGCAAAGTGAACCCAAGCTCAAACTCTATAGTTCGAGACCTTGAAACCTCAAACCCATCCCTTGACCCTGGACCCAACAACCCACAAATCTAAAGCGCCACTGCCAAAACCCAAAAAAACCCTGCAAACTCAACAGCAGCCCTACAAACACAAACCCTAGCACTGAAACTTAAGCCCCGCACGCCGAGAGCCCTACCTACTTGGAGGCTCATGGGTAGTGATAAGCGGGCTTCTAAGTAGTTTAACTATAGTTATAACCCCGGATTAGGGGACTTGTAGCCCTGCTTATAACTACCCATGAACCTCCAAGTATAGGTCGGAAAGATGAGCAGCAGATCGTTGCAGTCACTGCATAAGTTTCGTACAATACGCATGAAAACCCATTCCAACTACTAAACCCTATGGTAAGCACCATAAAAGACCGGTAGCACCCTGTACACCCCTTGTCGAACCCACAAAAACCCCATTCTAACAGCCTATACAATACTCGCCCTTTAAAAGAATTTCATAAGCGCGCATAAAACCCTATCCCCTAAACCCAACGCCTAAACCCCTCCATAAAACCCATTTAGAACCGCTCTATACCCCCCTATGAACCCGCATACCCCAACCCCTAAACCTCCATAAAACTACGTAAACCCTGAGCCGGCAGTTTGGGAGTCCGGGCATCCACTCCTCCGTCGGCTCCCACACTGGAGCCTCTGGTTAAAGGAAACTACAGGTGGGGAGTTTAGGGTATATGCGGCTTCTATAAGGCTTCTGTAAGGTATATAGACCTTCTATACGGTTCCTATAACGGTAACTACCCACCTGAAAATGTCCTAGACTCTGGCAATAAAAGCGTAAAAGCGCTGCCAGCTCAGGGTTTTGTTTATACTTGGAGGCTCATGGGTAGTTATAAATGGGGTTATAAGTAGGTTAACTATAGTGATAGCCCATATTTGGGGGACGTATAACCCTACTTATAACTACCCCATGAACCTCCAAGTAGCAGGGTTCAAACGTTCTCGTAAGGGCGCCTCGAGTTTAGGGGTGCGGGGTGCGGGCCTAGGACGATTGTAGGCTTTCGTGGGGTTCACGACTTTTTTTTGGAAGGGGGTTCGGGTCTAGCACTAGTGTGAGAAGGTTTTAGGGGGCTTCCTCGGGCTTTACGAGGATGTTAATGGGATGTATACGGCTCAGGATTTAAGGGCTTCGGGTTCAGGGTCTGGGGTAATAAGGTTAAGGACGGCAAGAAGGCGATAGTCCTACGAACTTTAATCGAAAACCCAATGGCTG